AGCAGCTGGGCGAGCTGTGCACGGAGCGCGACCCCTGCGACCCGCACAAGGGCCTCTTCTGTGACTTCGGCTCCCCGGCCAACCGCAAGATCGGCGTGTGCACCGGTAAGACCTGCAGCCCCGCCCTGGCCCCTGGCCCCTAGATGCCACCACCGCCCACCGAGGTGCCCGGACACTTAGTGACCGGCCACCTCCTCCCTCACGCCCACCTTCCCGCCAGAAAATGAGCCTCTGGAGTCGAGTCCCTTCCTCTGGCTGTTTCCAGCCCCACCCCCACTACCCCCTTCATCGCCCTGCTCCCAACTCGCATGCCCAGCGCGCCTACAGGATCAGGGACCTATGCTTGACCCCAGTAACCCTCCTTTTTTCCTTCCTCTCCTTCAGCCAAGGATGGTGCCCCCTGCGTCTTCGGAGGGACGGTGTACAGGAGTGGAGAGTCCTTCCAGAGCAGCTGCAAATACCAGTGCACTTGCCTGGACGGGGCCGTGGGCTGCGTGCCCCTGTGCAGCATGGACGTGCGCCTGCCCAGCCCTGACTGCCCCTTCCCGCGAAGGGTCAAGCTACCCGGGAAATGCTGTGAGGAGTGGGTGTGCGATGAGCCCAAGGACCACACCATGGTTGGCCCTGCCCTTGCCGGTGAGTTGAATCTTCTTCTAAGTTAGTGTTGCAATTCTCCCCCAGGGACTGAGTCCTAACTTTGCCAAGGGAAGGGGGCAAATGTCTTATCCTGTCATCTTACCTTGTGTTTGTGTGCTCTGCTCTCCCAGCTTACCGACTGGAAGACACGTTTGGCCCAGACCCAACTATGATTCGAGCCAACTGCCTGGTCCAGACCACAGAGTGGAGTGCCTGTTCCAAGACCTGTGGGATGGGCATCTCCACCCGGGTTACCAACGACAACGCCTTCTGCAGGCTGGAGAAGCAGAGCCGCCTCTGCATGGTCAGGCCTTGCGAAGTGGACCTGGAAGAGAACATTAAGGTACCTGTTCTGCTCCTATTAACTAATTTTCATGGAATGATAATAGATAGGACCAAAGTTAGGTCTCCTACCACCCTTGTTATTATAGTCCTATTATATTTCAAAAATATCTAACTATTGTGCTATTTTGCTGGAATGAGATGTTGTGTAATAGCAACCACCAGCTTTCCACTATAAAATCTTCCACAGTGGTAGTTAATTCAAGACATCCCAAGAGAGGCTATGCCTATTTTTGGAAAACTGGCAAATGAGACTCCAACTTCCTCTCCTCAAAATATAAACAGAAGTCAGACATCATAAGCCTAGAACACACAGAGGTTGGAGAAAGCCACTCCCCTTGTAGAGTCATTGATTTTTCTCTTCTCCCTTGTCTTCCTTAGAAGGGCAAAAAGTGCATCCGTACCCCCAAAATCTCCAAGCCTGTCAAGTTTGAGTTTTCTGGCTGCACCAGTGTGAAGTCATACCGGGCTAAGTTCTGCGGAGTATGCACGGATGGCCGATGCTGCACCCCTCACAGAACCACCACCCTTCCCGTGGAGTTCAAGTGTCCTGACGGTGAGGTCATGAAGAGGAGCATGATGTTCATCAAGACCTGTGCCTGCCATTACAACTGTCCCGGAGACAATGACATCTTTGAGTCAACCTACTACAGGAAGATGTATGGAGACATGGCATAAAGCCAGAGAGAATGAGAGACATTAACTCATGTAGCTGTAACTTGAACTGATTCACATCTCATTTTTGTGTAAACATGATTTCAGTAGCACAAATTATTTAAATCGGTTTTGCTAACTGGGGAAAAGGAAAATTCCCTCCGAATTCAAAATATTGTGCCATGTGACATTCAAATAGTCTATCAACCCCAGACACTGGTTTGAAGAAAGTAAGACTTGACAGTGGGACTACATTAGCACATAGCACCAGAATGTATACTAAGGTGTGGCTTTAGGGGCTGTGGGAGGGCTTGAAATCTTAAAGTAGCAATGTGCCTGCTATTTGGAGTGTTATTGAGAAGGAAAACCTTAGCATGTTCACTGACCTGCCCGTAGCTCCAGCCTGTAGCTGACAGCTAGGATGTGTGTTCTGCCATCATGAGTCTGAGTCAAGTTCTTCTGTAAGTCAGAACAGCAGATTCAGCTCTGACATTCTGATTCGAATGACAGTATTCAGGAATCAGAATCCTGTCTATTAGACTGGACAGCTTGTGGCAAGCTAATTTGCCTGTAACAAGCCAGATTTTTTTATTGATATTGTAAATATTGTGTGTATATATATATATATTTGTACAGTTATCTAAGTTAATTTAAAGTTGTTTGTGCCTCTTTGTTTATGTTGTTAATGCTTTGATATTTCAAATGTTAGCCTCAATTCTGAACACCATAAATAAGACGTAAAGCTTGTCTGATAATTCAAAGCATGAAATGGATATTCAAATGGAAATTCTGCTCAGTTAGAGTGACAGTCCATCAAAACAGATTGTTTGCGGAAGGTGAGCCAGTGATGCCCTTGGAAGTCTGATGTGTAGGTTGAAATGTGACAGCCTCACTTTTAATGAACAAGTGGCTTTTATTGAAATAAGGGTGGCTCTATATAGCGGATCAATTTTCCACCTGGAAGCATTTGTTTCTACTTTGACTATGACTGTTTTTTGGACAGTTTATTTGTTGAGAGTGTGACCAAAAGTTACATGTTTGCACCTTTCTAGTTGAAAATAAAGTATATATTTTTTCTATAAAGAGCTTGGCTATTCATTTATTCTCTAATTATTTCTGAGTTTTCTTGCCTATAAATGGGAAGCTTTTGTTTATCTTAAAACTATTCTATAATTTTCTAAATATCTTACATACTAATAAATTGGTTAAGCACTTCAATAGACTTTACGTAAATGTATTTTACAGTGAATCAAGTGTCATAAACTTGAAGGAATATACACTATATTGAGAACACAGGCATTTTTTTTTATCTTCTCAGTACTTCATAAACACAAATTCAATTCTCTTTAGATTACTTAGGTCTCCAGGAGCTCCTATTGTATTACTCTTGGTCCTATTTACATTTAATGCCTCTGGCTACTGTAGGCATTTAATTTCCAACTCTTCACATCACTGACTGTTTGTGCCTTGCACATAGAAAATATTTAACTATTTTTGAATTTTTATGCTCTTAGCATATCTATTTCTGAACTTTAATATCGTACTGTTAAATCTGAAAAGTATAAAATTAAATCTGCATTAAAATGGAGCAATGTAATAAATCTTATTTTATATAATTGCTTTTAGTTGCCATGATGTTCAAAAATAGATGATGGCATAAGTAGAAAAGAAAGGATAAGCAAATCGTTGATTCATTAACATTAATAGAAATTTGTCTTAAAAGCAACCCCTCCATTTCCCCAAGTTGGCTTTTTCAGATCTCAAGAGTAAGCTTACCTAGTGGTTTGTAAGTGACAAAATGATATTGTTCAAGAAGCTTGGTTTAGAAATTATGTGTGGCCCATCCAGGCCTCTACTAAAAACAGTGAAGTGAAGTAAGTGGCAAATAGAAATACTCCAAGCACAACTAGAAGCCTTATTTTTTTCCACACCAGAATAGCTGTAGATTCTAGAGGGGGAGGGGGATTAGAAAATAGTTGCAGACAGACTAACCCATCTCAGAGTAATTGGCAATGTTGTAGTGCCTGTGTCATTTTGAGAGACAAAAATACATCTGAAAATAAAGGCTAGTTCTACAAACAGTGCTCATGCCACAAACCAAAGGGAAAACTTCCCATGTTCAAATGTGAAAAGTATTTCTGGTCAAAACATTGGACTTTTAGGATACACCCACAAACATATATAGCAATGCTGTCAGCAGCTAAATCCCACTTCCCCAAACAAATCCACATGAGCGAGTGTACATGCGCAAACACACACACACATACACACATGTACACACACACACGTACACACACACACAGAGAGTACATTGTATTTAGTTCACTTTTTCTTTCTGTCAATTGACTCCTAGCTGTGAAGATGAAGGGCCATGGTAAATGAGCCAGACTGTTTTCAAAGGAATTTGAGAATTCTGGGAAGATATAAGTAGAAATAGGAGTACAGATTTTAGATTTTTCCAAATCTCCACATAAAAAAATAGAGTAAGTAGATTGCAAAATCATAACCTCATGAGCAATATTTATTTAAAAACTAGGTGGCAAGGTATCCCATAAACCCCCAAGTATGAATGGGATAAAATCATCAACCCCCACACAACCTACACTATGTGAGCGTATGTGTAGGAAAAAGCAAAGGATGTATATATGAGGGTATATGATGCTTCTGAGAACAGGAACGCTCCAAAACAGCCAACAGTGAAATAGAGGATATGATTTGAGAACAGCTACTGAAACTGGTAGGGTTTTTGCCCACTCTACAGACGAAGGCTCTTTCCCAAGAAAGGATTCCACACTCTTGGGAGCAGAATCAAAATTCAGCAGATCAGAGACATTGAAATAAGACATTGAAAAAGAAGGTCCAGATAAGAATGAGGAGAGAAACAGAGACTCAAAATGTCAGGAAGAAAACAGCCATATTTTTTAAAATGCACAAAAACAAAAGAAGAAGCTCTGTGGAGTTAGAAAAGTTATCTAAACCAAGACACTTCCCTGAACAAGTTCAAGAAAACAAATTTCACATAAAAAATAGAAAAATAAAATTATCAAAGCCAAATCCCAAGCAAAGCTATCATATGGAAAAGAAAAAAGTAAAGGACAGAAAAACATCCCTACAGATAATAAAAGCATGTCAGAAATACAAGTCCAGAAAACATGTCAAAACTATAACTTGCTATTTTAAAAAAATTAAGAAAATGACAGTAGACATAAATAATAAAAAGGAAACAACTAATAACAAAATAGTGACATAAATCAGAGTTAATAAAACAGAAATATGGTGATAAAACTCAAGAAGGAATTAGAAATTTAAAAAATCAAAGTAGAAGAAACATAAGAGTGAATAAATACAACAGATAATTCCTTAAGAAGAATAGATTATTAGAAGGATAAAATTTATAAATAAAAAAAAGAATGTAAGTGTTTCAAGAAAAAGTAGTAAGTATTGCAAATAGGCAAAGAAGATCCAACATATAGATATAGGAGTACTTGAGAAATTTTTAAGAAAACGAAAAACCTAAAAACTATAAATCAAGAAAACTATTGAAATAAAAAATGATTTGAAAACACATATTGATAAAGCATGTCATGTACCTAATAAAATCAATCAACACTAAGACATACTCTAGTAAAATTACAGAAATATAAGGAAAAGGGAAAAACCTTTGGGACATCTAGGCAAAAAGAACATGAGCCTTTTAAGTAAAAGAAAATTAACTCATCATCAGTGTTTTGACAGCAACACTTTATATGAGAAAAATTAGAATAACATATTTAAGATACTCAAGGAAAGAAAATGTGTGCCCAAATAATTTTTACCCTCCAAAAATGACATTTAAGAATAAAAGACACAGCCCTAGCTGGTTTGGCTCAGTGGATAGAAAGTTGGCCTGTGGACTTAAGGGTCCCAGGTTTGATTCCATCAAGGGCACATGCCTGGGTTGCGGGCTTGATTTCCAGTGGGGGCATGCAGGAGGCAGCCGATCAATGATTCTCTTTCATTGTTGATGTTTCTATCTCTCTCTCCCTCTCCCTTCCTCTCTGAAATTAATAAAAATATGTTAAAAAATAAAAATAAACACATTTAAAAATAAAAAAAATAAAAGACACAAATAGTAAAAAACATACAAGAACTCGGGCCGATTTTTCCTTTGAGCTCTTTCTCAGGAACCTACTAGAAAAGAAGCCCAGACAACAAAATGTCTGAGACTTATTAACATAAGAACTAGTGGTAAACATTTAATATAGTTTTCTTTAGAACTACAACTAAATAAAGATTAAAGAGGTGAAAGTATAGTATACAGTGGCTATATGTTCTGACAGTCTAGACCACAACCATAAAAGGTGGGGGAGAGAATAGTGATAGCATATGATCCTCCCAAAATATTTAATTATTTTTCTTGGTGGTGATGGTATTATTAATACTGACATTCTGAGACTGTCAGGTATGTAATGTGTGATAAACTAAATGAGCCATTATAGATATTCTAATTTTGTCCCTAGTGTTGGTAAGTACTAGAATGCTTAGTGAGGAAACCAGAAAATATAAATGTAATATAAAAATGGTTAAGCAAAATTTTGTAGTCCTGAATTTTAACTAAATGTCAGCATGAATTTATGATGCATTTTATCTTTAAAACACACACACATACATATGTTTTTTTCCTTCATCTGCTCACTGAAAGGGCTTAGATACAACTTCAACCCAAGAGCAATAAATAACCCTAGGCCCAGATTGTACTCTTGAATTATTACTTTCCACTAAAAGAAATTAGAGCTTCTTGGAGAATGGCTCATTGCAGGTCTACCAAGAAATGTGTAAGATAAATACACTTATGCTTGAAATATCTTTTCATATTGTATAATAATGAAGTTAGCAAGGACCACTAAAATCATATAAAAAAGATTCAGGAGGCAAATTGAAGAGAGTCTTATTAATGATGGGGCAACTTGAGTTCCACTAAGGATAAGAATAAAAATTGTGGGTATTAGTGTATCAACTATCCTTAAATTCATTAGTTCGTAATGATAGTTAAAGAAAAAGCTACTTGGTCATCTGAGAATGGTAAGAAACCTATCCATTATACTCAAAGTGTAATCTTTCTATGATGACTTCAATATCGTATCATTGGTATCCTACCCATCTCACAGTGCCTCAGGACGTGTTCATCTCATGATGATTTGTTGAAAATAATTTCATATTCTTTTTTTATAATTTTCTGTAGTTTTCCAAATATTCCATGTACTATTTTATAAATCAGAAAAAAAGATAGTTGAACTATTTTATCTCCTCATTTAAAAATATCAAAGAATATGCCAAAGAAAGTTAGAGGTTTTCATGATTTCAGATTTATATAAACAGTTCACAATACATAAATCAATAAATGGTGTAGTTCTTTAAACCTATTCCTTAAGTAGCCATGTGCCTGGATAACATGTGCAACACACATATAGTTTCTAATGAATTTCTATATTCATGTATATTCATTATGTGCTTTTACCTCATTTTCCCTGCTATAAATAAAATCATGAAAGATTTTCCTACATAAGTTTATAGTAACTGTTCTTTATCTCACGAATCATACTGATTACATATAGACTGTTGCTAAGACTATGAATAAAATAAACACATAAAATATACCTTTAAAATACTAATTTATATTCCAGCTTTAAATATAGGCTCCAAAGCAATACACATGGAGACCATATCCTATGTTAGATGTTAAAAAGACAGTCAAAGATGAGTTAATAAGAAATGTAGAGAATAGTTGATTAATTGGAATTTACATCTCAAGAATATAAAACATATTAAGACTTGCTTGGGTCAAAAAATTCTAATACAATTTTTGTCAGGACACTTAACATGTGTAATTTAGAGAAACAGAACTTTAGAACACTGTACGACAGTATCTACTAAAGCAGTGGTTCTCAACCTTGGCTGCACATTAGAATCACCTGGGAATCTTTTTAAAATCCTGATTTCTGGGCCTCATCCTCCGGAAATTCTGTTTCTTTGTTATGGGGTGGGGCCACAACATTAGTAACAAAGAAACAGAATTTCCAGAGGATGAGGCCCAGAAATCAGGA